ACAGAACAGATGGTGCCCAGCTATCTTTCATGGAGAGCATCTGGGGTCTTAAAAGCCTATTTTAAATAGGCAGCCATCTAATAAATGCAAGGAAAACAAGTCCGTGCAAAAGAAGACACTCTTAGAATAGTGATCAGCAATCTTCTATACAAATTCATCAGAAGGAGGTGTTGTGAAGGAGCTGTTAAAATCTAGGTGCTTGGCATAAGGGGAGGCTTCTGCCAAAGATGTAAGCCTGACTCCATTTTTGTTGCCTACTGCTCATTTGGAGCTAACTCTCAAAAGCCAGCTAGCCAGAATACCTCAGGAAGCCAGCAGGCTCCCCTTCCCTCCCTTCATCTCACAGTACGCTCTCAGAAGGCTATTCACTCAGGCTGGCCCCCAAAATATCCACAGATTAACAAGATGTTACCTGACTAACACTTTATGATTAACAGAACAATGCTTAAGGGATCTCATCACTGTCTGGTGTCTGTTAAAGCATGATTTTGTAAATATCAACCAATCAGAATTTTTTCCTTGTAGGTTTCTGAATTTTCTGTACTTAAACTCTGTGAAAACTTCCTTTCACCAGAGTACTTTTGTGAATTCTCACAAAGTGCTGCCCCAACCGAATCGCTCTAATCCTTCAATAAAATTCTTTGCTTTAATTTTAACAGAGACTCCAGTTGCTCTTAGATGCTAGACATCTTTACGCTCAGTATGTGACTTTCTTTAGCACTAGTTTTGAGGTTAAATAAGGCCCCAGGCTGATAAATGAAGAAAATATCTGACTACTAATGAGCAAATCCTGTAATAAGAATGAAATGTTGATTCAAGGCCATATAAGTATACTTTCAGGTAATCTTTCCATTAAAGTCTCATTCTCTTTCTCTCTCTATCCCCTTCTCCTCTTATCCCCCATGTGCACACATGCACCCTTCTCTCTGAAAATTTGGAAACTTCTTGGTAAAACTATTGTGGCCTTTCCTCACCCTGAAAAGAGGTGAGGGAAGACAAGCAATGCCATGCCAACAGCAGAGAAATAACTTCCTTTCTAATGAGTACATTAGTTGCATCATAATAGGGATACTAACAAATAACAGTATCTAAACTCATAAAACTAATCTCACAATTGGATATTTTAGAGTTGAAAATTTGTTGTTTGGTTAAAAAAATAATAAAAATGTGACAGGCTAGAATTGTTCTCTAAGATGCGTACTCTGCTAGTGAGCTACCATGATGCAAACGGTTAATGCACTCAACTACTAACTGAAAGACTGGAAGTTCGAGTCCACCCAGAGATGACTTAGAAGAAAGGCCTGGTGATCTACTTCTGAGAAATCAGCTACTGAAAACCCTACAGAGCACAGTTCTACTCTGACATACAGATGGGGCCACCACGAGTCAGAATAGACTCTATGACAACTGGTGGTACTGGCAGAAGTTGGAGACTGGAGTTCGTCTTTGATCTCCATTTGAATGTAAGTATAACTAGCTCATTTAACAAATGATAACATGTTTCGTCCCTTAAAGAAACTGACAATTGCTATTTAAAAGTAGGCTGTTGGGAATATTGATATCATCATTATAACTAGAGTGGTCCAGTGACAGGACAAGTGAATAAATAATTGAAAACTTTTTTTTTGGGGGGGGGGCGTCATTTCCAATAAGACTAATTCCTTTGCAATGATTTTAAACAAGATCATCTTTTATCATGTTATCCCTCTTTCTTCCCAACTAAAAAACCTTATATAAGATAAAATTAACATTAAAAACAAATTTTAAAAAATGTTGTTTCCACATTGTAAATAAATATGGTTTCTTCTTCATTATCTGAGAATTACACAGGGCACATCATATTAACAGCACGCTCATATTTTCTCCCACTATTAGTGAAATTACAACATAAATGGTAAAGGTTTTACAAAGAAACCATAGGCCCTAGCTTTAGCAAGGATTCTGTATTATAAAAGATCCTTAAGTATATCATTCCTGTCATACAGTTTAGAACAATGATAAGAAATGTAATTTCATGACTGTTTCCTTTACTCTGGCATCTTATTCCTTCTTCATCATACTACCCTTTCCATGGATATTGTATAACTGTCCCTTAAATCTCCATCTCTCATCTTTTCCTTTGCCCTATGCTTGTAACAGTGGCTGGTATTAACTTTTAAGTCATATATTTAGTGTATTTAGTTGCTATACTAGACAAAGCACCAGTAGGTGATAAAATAGTTTGAATGAAAGTGAGATTCTGACTTTTGTTTGTATAAGCTGTTAGGTTTTGGTTTTGCCATCTATAAAATGGGAAAAGCTTATATTTAATCATCTTAGAATTAAAGAAATTTATATATATATAAATCTCAACTAAAATACAGAATGCGTGTAAAAATCTAACTTCTCATATTGGTTTATTCAATATTTCTAGTTAGAGAGCTAAACTAGAAGAAAATTTTTATCAGAAATATGCTATTACTCTGTGTTTGCTCCCATTATCTTTTTGGGATATAATCAAATGTATCAGTAAATGATTACTTTTCAGTTTCCATATAAAACCAATGTTTGAGTAGATCTAGCAGCCATTTTTGAGATAACTTATCTCCTTGCTACAAAGAGAAAAAATTGATCAGAGGAAAACTGTAAATAATATTCAGCTAGGTTGAAGATCGTATCACACCCTTTAAATCAAATCTTTGGTTTTGTAAATCAAGTGTTCTGGTTTGGTTTCAAAACACCTACTTTCTTCATGTATTCAGTTTTAGCAGTTAATGAAAAGAGAGCAGAAAAAAAAATCCCATAAACTGAAGTTTTGAAACAGAATGAGGCGATTAAATAAAACCTATAAAAAATTCATAATTAAAAAATAGAACTAGTTCTTCCTTATATTTGATAACAGATCTACTCTTCACAAAATAAAATGTGTGTGTGTGTGGGGCGGCAATGTTCTATTCATCAAAATAATTATCATGATGCATAAAAACTAAATATCATAAGAATGGAAATAAGCCAGTGTAGTAAATGGAGAAAAAAATAACACTCTTAGAAAGTAGAAGAGGAGAAACCTAACTTTAAAGATAATGTAGTATTTTACAAATTTTTATCCTGTTCAAAACAAAACCAAACCCAAACTCATTGCCGTCGAGTCAATTCTGACTCATTGCGACCCCACAGGAAAGAGCAGAACTGCCCTATAGGGTTTCCAAGGAGCCGCTGGTGGATTTGAACTGCCGACCTTTTGGTTAGCAGTTAAGCTCTTAACCACTGCACCACTTGGGCTCCTAAATTAACTGAGAAATACCCAAAAGTCCAAAAAGCATATTTCAATACAATTCTAATTGAAGAAGGAAAAATCTTGCTTATGTGAATAACTCAAATGAACAGCAGAGTTGTGGATTTTTCTAATCATAATTCTTCTCTAATACTAGAGGGCTGTGAAGATTGCTTTTAGAAACTAACTTCCAACCCGTGACTGACCAAAAACCCAAAACCAAATCTGTTGCTGTCGAGTCGATTCCAACTCATAGTGACCCTATAGGACAGAGTAGAATCGCCCTATAGGGTTTCCAAGGAGTGGCTGGCTGGTGAATTTGAACTGCCGACCTTCTGGTTAGCAGCCAAGTTCTTTAACCACTGCACCACCAGGGCTCCTCAGACAGACTGGGGGGCAGAAAGACCCTTTGCCTAAGCTGCCTGTGCTTCTTAAAGATTTCACGTTTCATCCTTCAGGCACAGACTATACAAATAAATTCAAGGCAATATTCTTGTCTCCTTTACTTAGGCTATCACTTACCGAAAAATAAGCAGATTAAAAATTTCACTACTGGGGAGATAAGCTGTGTATTTAGCATACCCGCTTGCCTTAAATGCCAACCTTTCATTTACTTATGTTTCACCGTTTGGCCTGGCAACAGTCACATCAAATCAGCATGAACATTCATAAATAATCAATGGTTTTAAATTGATTAATGGATAGAAAAATGTCCTTTTCTTTTAGAAGTGTACTGCTTGCATGAAAAACCAAAACCAAAGCTTTAAACCTTTAACCTTTCCATTATCCATAGTCTTAAATGAAATAACACTAAAACCAAACCTGTTGCCTTTGAGTCCATTCTAACTCCTAGCGACCCTATACAACAGAGTAGAACTACCCAGTAGGATTGCCAAGGCTATAATCTTTATGGGAGCAGACTGCCACATCTTTTTCCTTAGCAGTGGCTGGTGGGTTCTAACTGCCAACCTTTCAGTTGGCAGCTGAGCATTTAACCACTGTGCCACCAGGGCTCCATTTAAATGAAATGAAATAATGAAATAATTAACTTCTATCCAACGAAATGTGCTAAGAATCTCCATTTTGCTTTTTAATTTAATAAATAGCTATAGTAAGTGCATTACAAATATTAGCCAATTCAATGCTCGAAACAAGCTCTTCATGATGAATCACTAAGCCCCTTGCTTGTGGTCCTACAGCTGGTATATGAGAGACACAGCCCAGTTTAAACTGGACAGTCTGGATCCAGACTCCAAGTTCTTAACTACCAAGCTATGCTACCTCTTCAATCTTAAAGTCAAGTTATGGTTTTAAGCATTTTATAATGCTTAATTAATCTTGGGGAGTTGATTACTATCTGAGAGCCTGCTGTAGAGCGAAAATGGCTCCTTTCTTATTAGAAGGCCTTTGCTGAACCAGTATGAAATATTCACTGCTTTAGGAGATGAAAGTCAAATGACACCTTTAAAGTCACCAAAGGATCAAAGAAGCTATGCAGCTAAAATGGTACTTTAATGTTCATTTATTAATAATTTCAATCCTGTCTGGTTTTAAAAAATGGATAAATCAGTGTACAATAAAATACACAGAAAACCACACAACCTTTGAAAATCAAAATAAAAGGTTAAACATGTGCAACAAAAAGTGGAAGGTAATTATACCCAGTTGTTGTTAGTTATAACCCGATCATGACAACCGCATGTGTACCGATCAGAACTGCTCCATAAGGGTTTGTTTGTTTTTAAATAAAAATATGGAACTCTTCACAAATTGTGTGTCATACTTGCACAGGGGCCATGATAATCTACTCTGTGTCATTCTGGTTTTACTGTATGTGCTGCTGAAGCAAGCCCATCCATAGGGTTTTCAAGGCTGTGATCTTTTGGAAGCAGATTGCCAGGCCTCTCTTCCGAGGCGTCTCTGGGTGTGTTCAAACTACCAACCTTTTGGCATGAAACCTAGTGTGTAGTGGTACCACCACCCAGGGACTCCTTAATTATACCCTAAACTTAAGCTATATGGTCACTGAACTTGAGCACTGAATTTTTCTCTGAGCTTTCTGACAGTCAAGGCAAAAAGAAAAACATGGTCATCTATATAAGTTCTGTTGTTTCCAAAAAGGTGAGAAAGTTCATTTGGAAAGCAAACTGAATACAGCTAATAGAGTTATAATTTTAACCTATTAATAAATTTTACCACCAGAAAACCTATCTTATCATCCTTTCCTAGGAAGGTGCTTTATATGGGGGAGATGCCTAATATATGTATGTTAAAATAGAAAAACAATATTGCCTCATATAAGTATTTTTTGGCTGTGTAACAGCGGTTTTTCTTTTGCCGTATCACAGAGCCACCATCAATACTCAACTGGATTAACAGCTGTCTAATGGGGTTCTTACCTCTACTTTGCCTTTCTGGTCTGTTCCCTTAATCCATCTAGGGAAATATTTTTAAAAAACCCACTCTGATTATGTCATGGCCCTACTTAAAACCCAACAATGGTTCCCTATTGCTCTTGGGAAAAAGTACAAGACCTTATGTTGCCACATAAAGCTATAATTCATTTTTTAAATTAGTACAGGGCAGCCATATAATGAATATGCTATCATTTATTTAACCACTTTCTTATTAATAGACATTTGGCATATTTCCAATTTTTGGCTATTACCAACAACAATGCCTGTCTCTTTGGATACATGGGTGCACATTTCTTCAAAGTGGGATTATTAGGTTGAAGGAAAAATACACTATGATTTTCTTATGTACAGTTAAATTGCCCTTCAAAATGGCTTTATTCATTTATACATCCACAATTGATACATAATGGTTTTCTTTCTTACACCCAACAATACATATATTATCAATTTAAAAAACAAAACTTTGCTAACATTAAAAATGAACAAACAGGAAGCAGGGCCAAGATGGCAGAGTAGTCAGACACTTCCTGTGGTCCCTCTTACAACATACACTCAAAAAAACAAGCGAATCAATCATATATGACAATCTAGGAGCCCTGAACATCAAAGACAAAATTGAGAAATCGGACTGACCAGTTGGGGGAGGGAGAGATGGTTCAGAAGCAGTGAGGAGTTGTCAGATATGACCTACCCAGCACCGGCACCCTGCAGGCTGGATTGGCTGGCAAGTGGTGAGGCAAGCAGTGGCGCTCAGGATGGGTTTTCCACACGGGGAGACACTGAGCAGCAGAGAGTCTGCTCATGTCTCCAGAAGCAGAGAAAAGTGGTGCTCAATCAGCAAAAGGAAAGTATGTGCGTCTAACCTACTGTGAGGATCCAAAAAAGCCTCCTCTTTGGGAAGTACCTCTCTCCTATTTACCTGCCCCCTCCCCACTCGGCTTGGGTCATCGTCCTGCTTCAGTGATTGCTGCGCCCCCTGGGATGGAAGTAGGACCCGTTGCACGCCTTGAGCCATTCTCCCAGCTTTGGAGAGGAAACAAATTAACAAATGGGAAAAAATAATCTGCAAGCTCCCCTAAGCTGGGAAGTCAGGGCAGGCACAGCTCCTTTGCCTAGGCACAGGGACAAGGGGTCCATAGACTTTGAATGCCTTTCACCCCTGTATAGAACTTCTGTGGGCCCATTTCAACAGCATAGGCCCTCATTAGCACAGTACAACAGGGTATTTACCTGTCATGGATTGAATTGTCTCCCCCCCAAAATATCTGTCAACTGGCTAGGTCATGATTCCCAGTATTACCTGACTCTGTACCGTTTTGTCATCTGATGTGATTTCCCTACGTGTTATAAATTCTACCACTATGATGTAATGAGAGGGATTAGTGGCAGTTATACTGATGAGCTCTACAAGATTAGTGTCTTAAGCCAATCTCTTCTGAGATATAAAAGAGAAGAAAGCAGAGAGACATGGGGACCTCATACCACCAAGAAAGCAGTGCCGGGAGCAGAGCAAGTCCTTTGTACCTGAGGTTCCTGCACTGAGATGCTCCCAGACCAAGGGAAGACTGATGCATCACAAGGACCTTCTTCCAGAGCTGACAGAGAGAGAAAGCCTTACCCTGGAGCCAGTGTCTTGAATTTGGACTTCTAGCCTACTGGACTGTGAGGGAATAAACTTCTGTTTGTCAAAGCGATCCACTTATGATATTTCTGTTATAGCAGCACTAGATAACCAAGACAATGCCTGAAGCCTATTTTCATCTGTATCAGCTATAAGGGGGAGTGGTAGATTCGTGACATTTGACACCACCCTGCCCATTAAGCAGGGTCCTCACCTACCCACATCAGGGGCCTGAGGACTGGTGGCTCCACAAATGCCACCTAGCCACCCACAACAGGGGTCCCAGAGTAAGTGGTGTATCCCAGTCCTCACACCCAACAGCACTGGGTGCCCATAGTTTGGCTGTAAAACCCACCCACCTACAAGCTCTAGAGAACAGGGATACATCTTCCAACCAGACACTCAGGGGCAGCCATCAGTCCCCTGCCTTGCTCAGTGCATGACTCCCTACTGCAGCCAGATACCTGTGCCTACTCCAATCACCCCAGCCACCTAGGACTGTAGGTAAGAGCCTACATGACACACTTGGTGACTAACGTCCTGGACACCTGAGCTGAGTCCACACAAGAAAAGTAAATGGACTCCTGGGCCCACATACCCAGTAAAAGCTCTAGCCACTTGCTGACAGGACATGAGAGTTTCAAAGATGCCTATCATCAAGCTAGCTCACACGACCAGCCTATTTAGGCATATCAAAACCGAACAAAACAAGAAGCTAGAACAAAGTAAGCAAACATAAAACAAATAAACATAATAACTTATTGATAGCTCAGAGACTATCAATATCAAATCACATAAAGAGGCAGATCATGATGGCTTCAGCAAGCCACCAAAACAAAGATTCAAGAAACCTTCTACAGGAGGAGAACTTCCTGGAATTACTGGAGGTAGAATTAAAAAGATTAATATACAGAGCTCTTCAAGAGATCAGGAAGGAGATCATACAAAATGCAGAACAAGCCAAGGAACACACAGACAAAACAATAGAGGAACTTAAGAAGGTTACGCAAGAGCATAATGACAAATTTAACAGGCTGCAAGAATCCACAGAGAGACAGCAATCAGAAATCCAAAAGATTAACAATAAAATTTCAGAATTAGACAACTCAATAGAAAGTCATAGGAGCAGAATTGAGGCAATGGAAGTCAGAATTAGTGAGACTGAAGATAAAACACTTGACACCAACTTATTTGAGGAAAAATCAGACAAAAGGATTTTAAAAAAAGAAGAAACCCTAGGAATTCTGTGGGACTCTATCAAGAGGAATAACCTATGAGTGACTGGAGTACCAGAACAGAGAGAATTGTTGAAGGTTTGTTGGCAGAAAACTTCCCTGATATTAGGAAAGACAGGAACATATCTATCCAAGAATTTCATCGAACCTCACATAAGGTAGATCCCAAAAGAAAGTCACCAAGACATATTATAATCAAACTTGTGAAAACCAAAGATAAACAGCAAATTCCAACAGCAGCTAGGGATAAACAAAAAGTCATCTGCAAAGGAGAGTCAATAAGACTAAGCTTGGACTACTCAGCAGAAACCATGCAGACAAGAAGGCAATGGGATGACACATATAAAGCCTTGAAGGGAAAAAAAATTGCCAGCCAAGAATTATACAGCCAGCAAAACTATCTCTCAAATATGATGGAAAAATTAGGGCATTTCCACATAAACAGAAGTTTAGGGAATCTGCAAAAACAACACCAAAATTACAAGAAATACTAAAGGGAGTTCTCCAGTTAGAAAATCAATAACATCGGATAACAACCCAAGACGAGAACACATGACAGAACAACCAGGTATCAACACAGACAGGGAAGTCACAAAAATAAACCAAAGCTAAAACACTGAATATAGGAAAACAGAGATGTCAAAACGTACAAGATGACAACATTAAAACAAAAAAGAGGGACTAAATACTCTAGTCATAGATCTTTCATATGAAGAGGAAGTCGAGGTGATATTAATAGAAAATTGGTTTAAACTTAGAAAAATAGGGGTAAATATTAAGGTAACCACAAAGGAAACTAACAATCCTACAAGTCAAAATAAAAAACAAGAAAAACATAAAGACTCAGCAAATACAAAATCAACAATGATGAAAACAAAATATATAAAAATGACTCAGCAGAGAAAATTAAGTGATACAAAGAAACTGTCAACAACACACAAAAAAAGACATCAAAATGACAGCACTAAACTCATATCTATCAATAATTATGCTGAATGTAAATGGACTAAATGCACCAGTAAAGAGACAGAGAGTGACAGAATGGATAGAAAAGACACAATTCATCTATATGCTGCCTACAAGAGACACACCTTAGACTTAAAGACACAAACAAACTAAAAGTCAAAGGATGGAAAAAATATATATCAAGCAAACAACAACCAAAAAAGAGCAGGAGCAGGTGTCTTAGTCATCTAGTGCTGCTATAACAGAAATACCATAAGTGGATGGCTTTAATCAACAGAAGTTTATTCTCTCACAGTCCAGTGGGCTAGAAGTCCGAATCAGGGCACCAGCTCCAGCGGAAGGCTTTTTCTCTCTGTCAGCTCTGGAGGAACGTCCTTGTCATCAGTCTTCTCTTGGTCTGAGAGCATCTCAGCACAGGAAACTCAGGTCCAAAGGACCAACTCTGCTCCCAGCACTGCTTTCCTGGTGGTATGAGGTCCCCATGTCTCTCTGCTTTATTCTCTCTTTTATATCTCAAAAGAGTTTGGCTTAAGACACTAACGAATCTTGTAGAGGGAACCCTGGTGGCGTAGTGGTTAAGTGCTATGGCTGCTAACCAAAAGGTCGGTAG